AAGCGAAAATCAAATCTTGAACACTCAAAGACTGTCAATCCAGGTTATCTCAGAAAAGTGGAAGCCCAATAAGGGAGAAGTATTCACCTGGCATCTCAGAGACAAAGTGTTCAACAGACTGAAGCACCTCAAGTTTAATTTTTAGCTTGGGATGAAGGTACCTAACAAGGTTTCCAGCTGCAGACACTTCTCTGTGAGCTAGGTGCCTAAGTTTCCAAAGCAGTCAGCAGGGAGTATAATAAAAACAATGAAGAGCAGCTGGAGATGGGGTCAAATCCACACTAAGGGCATTAGGGAAGGATTCAACTACCTGAAGCTGGTTCAGAGCATTAGCTGAGAAGCCTGCAGGCATTCAAGCCAACTTCTAATTAAGTCGAGCATTTTGGAAGGTCAGCTCTGAGTGGAATATGGTGAGGATTGTAAACTAGTATGTGAAAACCTGCACACAGGTACACTCAATCTTGCTGGCATGCTCTGCCAGCTGAAGAGGTTGCCAGAATTCACTGGCTGTACAGACACTACCTCTGCTGATTATAACATTAGCTTAGACAGACAAGACATTGTTGGCACTTACTCAGACACCTCACTCCAAAACTCATGCCTGCTATTTATGCTTCAATATACGCCTGGAAAATTATGTTGAAAATGGCTTTGCTATAAAGTGGGAAACAGCTACTGTTGCAACAGGTGGAGAAAATGAACAATCCCTATGTGTGCTTGGAGGGAATGGTCACATTATTTTAAAGAATCTGCAGTTTTAGGATGCTAAATTCACAGATCAAGGAGGAGCAATGTAGTCTGTTTATAAAGACTTTTGGGCAAGATGGATGAAGTATATTCTGCATATGCTCTTGCTAAACAGCAGAAACAAGAGAAGAGCAGCATCTGTCAGAGCTGCAATAATTCTCTGTTGGGAGTATGAGGAGTACCCTGTGAAACCAGAGCACATAATAAAGCATGAGAGGCTAAGCTGGAGCTGGAAAGTTCATGTCACTGGGTCAGCTGCAGCTTTGATGTGTCCTTGCCAGGCAATTTGATGGCCTACAGTGACAAATCACACATAGGAGGCTACTTCGGGAGAACGCCTAAAGCCATCCCTAGAAGGTATTTTGCCAGAAAATCAAAGGATAAGAAGTGAAATAATAATTGGTACACTTTTGAAAAAGAACATTTGATTATTGTATATTATCCAGATGTCATTTCCCTCAATTCTTCCATACAGTACTGTTTTTAAGTTACTTAATTTATCATTTTGGACTAAGAAAAAGTTTCTTGAACATGCAGGGTTTCATTTTCTGAAGTGAGCACTTTGACCAGGGCACTCCTTAAGTGCTTAGAAAGACCACTGTTGTTGTCAAATAAATCATGACAGAAAGGTTACGGCTGATTTTGGTGCACCTCTCATTTGAACTGCGATTGCTTCGCTTAAAAGTCTACATGAGCTGCAAGGCAGCAACGAGATTCTGTCTTGGCAGTGTTGTGGAAAAGAAATGTTTCTGTACGCAATAAACTCTTTCAATTAAATATATATTCTTAAAGTGGTACTTAAAATGAAATACAAAATGATGAGCAATATAAAATAGATCCAAATTAAGATAAATTTAGGAAAAAATGCCCCATTAAGAGCTACATTAGATGTCAAAGTTTTAGAGAATCTTTACAAGATTGCTTTCTCTGAGACAGTAAATTATATGATAAATTATATGATAAATAAAAAGAAAATCGAAGGCCTGATGATGTAGGATGTTTTAATAAATAATTTTCTATAAATACGTATTTGAATTGTAAATAATTGCCTAATCCATTTAAGGTATTGCACTTAGTTTCCAGTTTCTGTTCAGATTGTTATGTCTCTAATATTTCAGGAATAATAACCAATGAACATTACTTTCTCTATAAAATAAATCTAAAGCATTTCTGAAACTCAAATGACTATTTAAATCAACTCAAATGTTTTAAATGAACCTCATTTACCAAAAGCTGTTTCTAAATTTACAAAATTGCTGCACGTGAGAGTAGAAATACACCTTTAACACATTCAAAAAGTACAACCACCTTAATTATACTGTTATAAATTCAGAAGCACAAAAATGCTGGTGTACAGTAGGCTTCAAGTGCCTTTACTCATTATTTAAAATACAATAGTTTTATAGTCTCAGAAAATGAACAGCTATCTTTTCTATAGTGTAGATGACATAAAGCCAATAAAATGGCACCATCAGGTAGAAAGAATTGGTAAAATCATTTTTGTTGGAATTGTAAACAATGAAATTTTTCAAAATGTCAACTGTCAGTAAATGCTTTACCATTTTGTATGTTTGTCAGGTAAACATACACTTCACATGTGCTTGCTGTTCACAGCCACACTTAGAAGGTGAGGTTTGTGGTTGTTTTTTTTCTGGAGTCTCAGTTTCATCGTAATAAGCGGGAATACTTTGTATTCAACTGATGAAATATTTTCCAAAAAGTATCTCAAAAAATCTAAACTAAAACTGAATGAAAGCAACAATTCACATTAGAAATTCAAGTTGAATAAATTTACTAGCTAGTTTATCAAAGGAATAATATGACTGACAGTGTAATCTAAATATGTTTTCTTGAAATCTATGAGTTATATTAATAGAAATTACACAATTGTATTTATCTGCATGCATACACACTGAAGAAGGAAGAATGGTTCATTACTATTCTGAAATTAGATTTAACTGCAATTTTGCCCCATACTATTTTTAAATAGCAAAATATCTAGGCAATAATATAACCTTGTTTGGCTTCCTCATAATTGCAATTTCCTGGCTTAAATGAGTTCTCAGAAACATCATAAAGCAGTTGGCTGCATGACGTAACTGTGTAGCCCTGTAACACGGTATTATTATTATTATTATTACTAGTAAAAGACTATATGCTTTGTACAGTGAGATATGCTTTGTAAATGAGATATTACCTAATTCCTAAGGAATAAAGTGTTTTGGTTAATAAAATCATGCACACACACACAAACAAAACAGCTTCATTACAAAAATCAGAATTTTAGCAGTGAGCAAGTATTACTTCCAATTACAAGTGATATGCTTGCATTACAAACAAACAATGGCTTAGGAAACAGTTAACATATATTTTAGGCACTAGTTTTAAACAGAAATCTGTTTGCCAGTATTGCACAATTCATCAGGTATTACTCAGCTGTAAAATTAGGAAACAAGATAAAAAGTAAAACTAGCTTAAGAAAAAAAAAGTTCTCGGAGTCTAGAGCCACTAGTACACCCTTTCTATAGCATGGGGTATGGATGTGGAATTCTCACAACAGAATGACTCGCAGAAGCTCACTGAACTGAGACTTGCTTCAGCAACTAGAAGAGCCAAGTGTTACTCTGGTAAGACCTTACTTGAGAAATCCAACTTCTGTCTTGGTCAGGTAACACCTCAAATCTCATACAGTTTATGGTTGCTCTCAAGGAGAAATGGAAGATGCTGTACACAGCGCTGTGCAACTTCTTAGAAGATCTTAGTTCACGTCAGATTTCCAGAAGCAACTGATACACCTAACACTTTGTGGTGGACAAATTCTTCCTTCAAAATTAGGCTAATTGCTACATTGAACAGTTGAAAGAGATTTATCTTTGGGGTAAAGGCACTGCTTATAATTAAGTGATCTTCAGTCTATCATTACTTTTTGAAAGAAAGCTTCAGTGTCTGACAGTCACCTGGGTATCACCCCACCCTTGTTACTAAATAGCTAACTGCAGAAAAAACAATTAGCCTTGTCAAAGTACTAAAAAGCAAATAATTTGTAACAGCTAATAGGTAAATGTTAAAGGAAATAAATAATAATAATCCTTGTTCTTTTTCAGATTAAACCTGGAGTCTCATAATCCTTTCAGTACAGGCAGCTTGTCTTTTATGACTATGACTGGGAATGCTTACAGAAATATAAACATAAAAGTGAAGTCAGTGGTTTTCAAGTCTACTTGTCAAACTGTAACAGCATTACTATCTTCAACATCAAAATTTCTATGACAGTTAAGGACACAGAACACATCCTCTTCTAAACAGCTGGATTTTTTATTTATTTTCAGGCAAGCAAATTATGCACGATTTTTCTAAATTTTGGTGAAATTCAAAGCCAGGGATTTTTTGCACAAGCTGTTTGTGGATTCTGATTTTCAGTATGTGGAAGAAGGACGCACAACTATACAGGCATTCTTGGAGGTACCTGCTCCTCATGCTGAGCAGAAATTACATTTCTCTCAGTTCAGTGGGTGCCAGCTGAGTCCTTTCTAATCTTATAAACTTATCTGATACTCTTCAAAGACTAGGATGAGTAGAATAAATTATTTTACTCAAGAAGTATGCTGAAATGATGCAACTTGAGGTGGACAACTATATTTCTGAAAACAGTCATATGATCTTATGTATATTCAGATTACTTAAGTTAAATGTATCAAAGCATTAAGTACGTCTTGTTTGTTCTGCTGCATGCAGTATACTTAGAAAAGATTTTCAAGAAATTTCAGCACATCTCTATCCATTAAATATTTTGTCAGTTATTCCATAAATAATGTAAAGATTAATATTAAAGGCAACAGTTTCAGTTTATCATGTCAGTGAAGCCAAGGTATCATTATGGTTATGTGCACATCCAAAACTGAAGGCAGAATCCTATTGTGTTTGTAATATTTACTCTCTCTACAGTATTATTATCTTGGGTGAATTCAGAAAACATTCATTTTCCCTACACTACATAACCTCTCTTTTTATGTGTTTCACCTTAATATCTGAGTGACTAAAGAACCCATAAATCAAGCAGTTTGAACGTAAACAAAGCCTCGAAGTACTTGGAAAGAACTGGATCAGCTTCTGTTTCAATTAATATTGATTCCTCCTCCAATAAGGAGATGATCTATACTCTTTCTGATTTATTTGAGGCCATTACAATTAATTTTGAAGCATGTAATACCTGTGAAATATCCTTCTTCACTGTGGCAGGGAATAGACTATACCTGTGAATCCAGGGGGGCAGGAACACTGGTAGCCTCCAAGCCTGTTGATGCAACTTCCTCCATGCAAACAAGGAAGAGTTTCACACTCATTTACATCCATTTCACAGAGAGACCCATAGTATCCAGGTGCACAATTACAGAGGAATCTTCAGGAAAGGGAAAATCAGATAAATCAACAGAAATAAACAATATGTTTCATATCAATACTGTAAAGCTATCCATATGTTCTGGTGTCAAGATGTGATCCCCTAATCACCAGCCATGTTAAAACAACTAACAGAGTTTTCTCATTTCCATGTCTCTGAAGTAAGCAGAGTTATTTACTATTTTCTAAATTAGTAAGAGAACTGTACACAGAAATTGTATCTGAAACTATGGGGAATGACATATGGGCCTAAGTTCTTCTCACGCAAGTCTCTGAACAACTGCAGAATGATGTGGATACAAACACAAAATGCAGCATTTTCCCTTGTTTACAATTCATAATTTAGTAAACATTTACATTAGAAAAGGTAATTGTTTGAAGTCAAATTGGAGGAAAAGCACAAGTCGGCCTAAGCCAGTTTCTCTTCTATTTTCCTCCTGGGTCACAGAAGCAGCAAATCCCTGAGTCAGGAGAATTAGCCTACCTCATCTTAACACAGGATCCCTGTGACACGCTGTAGGTCCCATCCAAGCCTCCAGGCAGTGAGCAGGTTTTGTAACTTAAGAAACTTTTTTTTTTTTTTCATTTAATTGCAGTAACTCACCTGTTTATGAGATCTAGACAAGTTCCATTATTTTTGCACGGTCTTGATAAACATTCATTTATCTCCACTTCACATAGTGTTCCAGTAAAGCCATGCTGGCAGGAGCATCTAGGGAAAAAAGTCATAGTTTTTTGCTTTTTAGTTTAATATTAAAAAAGAAAAGCATGTGGTAGATTTTAAAGGGTGACAGCAGGAAGTTCTAAAATTAATTTCTTCTAGTTATTAGAAAATGCTGCACTATAGCCTTTCCTCCCCACAGTCCCTGCCTGCCTTTTGTGTGAACAGAGTGGGCAGGGGCTGCTCTCACAGCGCCCTCAGCAGCCTCAAGCTGCAAACTCCGGGGAAAGAAGGGAGTTGGCATAAGAAAACAGAAAAATAATCCAAGTAGGGCCAAGCATCCCGCCACAAACACTGTGCCACTCCTGGGGAAGACCTCTGGATGCTGGTGACCCCTCAGGACACCACTCCCATTCCTACCCCAGTTCTTTCTGAGGGAGACCTAAACCATTGATCCCACGAGCTAGAGAGACACTGCAAGAGTGATCACAATACCAGAGGGAAAGCGTAGATCACTTGAAGTTTTCTTGTGTAACCTCTTAAACTGTTTTGTATTAATTTTGATTATGAGTATTAATATTTTAATTGCAATAATAATAACTGCCTATTATATTTTGATTAGACTGTCCAGTTTTTAATTATCCTGAAATTCACACGTTCACCTATATGGTATTTTCCTTCTCGACGTAGCAATATTTTCAATATAACAGAGTAATGAGTCAAACCCATCACAGAAAAATATATAGAGATAAATTAGACTCATTACGATACTAAAGAACTGAAAAGATTATTAACAGAGATGAAGGTCCACATAACTAGCTAAAAGATAAATACCCCTGTATCATACTCTATCTACTGATCAAAGTACTTTCCTTACCTGTAGCGGTTAATGCTGTCCACACAAAGCCCCTGATGCTGGCACGGATGGGAGGCACACTCATCAGTGTTAACTTCACAGTTAGTGCCTTCAAATCCTGGAAAAGAGATTACACTGAGTGTGAATGAGTGAATTCTACTACACCATGTGTATATCATGGGTTATTAGAGGATCCATTATCAACTTAGATAATGCATACGTCTGCTTTTGAGAAACCTCAGCTAGTCCTGAACCTTTCAAAAGCTGGAAGAGACCTCAGCGGTGACCACTCCTCCTCTTGGGATATGCTTCGAAGCAGAGGCTCTTTGTCCTCAGTGTCCAACTCAACTGCGCTGCAGCCATGGCCCCTCCTGCCACGTACCCTGTGCTGGGGACCGGCTCTGGGGCTTCAGCGCTCACCACAGCCCCACACACCTGCCTGGCGAGCCGGCTACGCGCAGCCTGTGCTGGCTGCTCTCCCTGCTCAGGTCTGGGGTGATGGTTGCCCCCCAACAACCCTGGCGGGGATCCTGGCTCCCCTTTCCCCAGGGAGCAGCCAGCCCCACAGCGTGCTGACCCACACATCAGCAAAGCCCTTGGGGGCCCCGTCCGAAGAGAACCTCCTCCAGGCATCCTTATTCCTTCACTTTAAAAGGCAGCGTTCCTGCCCCAAGACTGACAGAACTCCATCACACACTGAAGCACCTGAGGTTCTAGATGTGGATGAAACCAACGAGCACCTGACTCAATCTACTGAGGAAAAGTAACCCATTTCAGTGTTCTGAAAATGTTTTCATTGGGAGTGTGGGACAATTTCAAAAAACAAAAGCTAATTCAATAATTAATATATTCTGGTGCATAATGGCAGCTAAAGAGGCCACACTTATTCAAAGTAGTCAGTTGAAAATTAAAAAAAAGAATTGATTTTAATATTTAAAGGAAGGAGGAAAAGTGATAATGATTCACACAGTACATCACTTGAACAGTACATCGCCAACGTAAACCATCCCAAAATATACACTAACAAACGTGATTTTTTTTTTTCTGATTTACAGGCTACAAATATTAATTTTGCTCACAGAAAAATTAAGAAAGCATACCACACCATAAAATATCCACAAGCACCAGCTATTATCCTATACAAACAGCGAGGCTAAAATGAAATACAGTGAAATTCATGGAAGTTTGGCTAATGTTTACACTGAAGTAACTCTGTTTGTAAGATAAAATCAAATATTTATCGTTTAGGATCTAATCCAAAATACAGTGAAGTTAAAAGGAGTTATTTTGACAGATTTTGTAAATTATTAGATTTTCAATGAGACATGTCAGAAACTTTTCCTTTGTAAGAAATGAAGGAAAAAAAGTCAGAAAATTGAAAAAAACCTCAATTTTGGTTGTTCCTGACGTTCACTTGCCATGTTGTTATCACTGCGTCTTCTCTTTTATCTTTTCATAATTTCGTGTTTCAGTGCTACTCAGCAGAAGACAGAGGACTTAACTACTGAATGACCTGTAGACTGGACAGGTCTCTCTTGCATGGTTCCATGACCAGGAAATGCTGGCCAAGACTAGGTTGCCAAGACTAGATCTTACCCACCCTACTGCTTCCTTGTCCACACTAGACCAGTCCTGGACACATTTCATGGGTTTCTCAGCTATTCTGACTAATCCATTAATATAAAACAGAAAGCTTAAAATACAAAAAAAAACCAAACAAATAAAAAACCCCCACAAAACTAGGCTTGACCAAAAGGGACCACTAAAAACTGCTGCTTCAAGAATTGTCTTTGCATTAAAGACAGAATTTTCCTGTGCTAAAATTATGGAAAACAAAAAAAAAAAAAAAGGGCATTTATAGCTTGCCAATATATGTTCTCTTTTGTATGGAATTACTTGTATTTTCTCTTTATTATTTGCCTTTTTACTGTATTTTTACACCAATGTAGATACAAACCATTCCTATCACATTACTATATTACTACCACTACCAGTAACATCAGGTTTCACTGTAGTAAAAGCTGGGAATGTATTTCAACCCACCTCTTACAAACCTCTACTATTTTGATACTAATTCTTTCTTTCTATGATTGATACAGATTTTTCTAGGAAATCTCAGTGTGAACTGCAATCACTTATTCCCTATTCGTATGATGTTCCACAAAACCACCCAGAAAGAAATTCCCTAATAGCAGATAAATAATCTCTATCACAGTGGACTGCTCTGAAGTAGCCTCCTCAGCAGCGGCAACGCTATTCAATTCAGAATGTTTCAGCTGATTATCTGCAAATGGGCCAGAACCAGAGCCAAGATTTAAATAACTGTGGTATCTGCAGTAGGTGCAATTTGCAGTTTAAACTCTAACTTGAGTTCCCATCTATTATTTGCTTACAGTTTGCTTAAGGAAAAAATAAGGGTAAAATGACTGTAAATTATTTTCTGGCATGCTAGTTCGCAATTACAGCTCAGTATTAGAAGTAGTTACATCAAGTAGGCAGCCGTTGCTGACAATAAGTCGTTTTTAAGAATTGTTCTTTTGATACATGGTACCCAGTGCCACTGAGCAAGAACAGGAAGGTAGGAAGGTGCTTCTGTATCTCAGGTTTGAGGAATGAATCGGAGGGCAGGCAGAATGAGAGACCAGCAGCGCGGCGGCACCACCAGCCAACTTCCTCTTCGGTGACTTTCCATCTGTTTGTCATGTTTGACATTTCTGAAACTGTATTTATTTCAGAGCCGCAGCCTCTGTCAATAGCCAGTGGAATTGAGACTTCACCGAAAATAATAAACAGAAAGAAAAAGGATACACGTAAAAAAATGAAGTAACTCACAAAGAAAAGAGTGTGAAGCTAACAAAACACTAACAGAACTTGAACAGAAGTTGCACGGAATGCTTTCTTATTCTTTTGTGATCCTATATGTTATTCAAAGAATTACCTTTCCTTAAGAAAAAAAAAACACTCTTTCGAAATTAAAATAAGCAAGAAGGAAAATGGAAGGCATTCATCATTCTGCTTCCTCCTGATGTCCCTACTTTGTTATGGATGTTTGAAGGAATTCCTTGGTAAATAATACTGAGGTGAGCATATAGAGCACTATTCAAACGTGTTTTGGCAGCACACAGCAAAATACAGCTACCTTGAAAGCACACAAGTGAGACAGACATACATAGAACAGTCACACTATTTTAGGTATTGCAGAGAATCACACAGTATTATTCCTACAAACAGAAAAAAATGCAAGTTTCAGTACAAGGTATCATTAGATATCCTGATACACTGTGAAATTATAATGACATTTTCAGCCTACTATTGAATAATTATTGAATAACAATCCAAGGAATATATATCCTGTTTTACTACTAAAAACCAAAAAAAGTGAAATAATGTAGCAATTATTAATCATGCTGGGAATTTTTAGAGAAAATTTCAGCAAGTTTTGCTTTCAACTGAAACTTTACTCGTTTCCACTTAAAAGGATAAAAAAAAAAAAAAAAAAAGAGAGGAGGAACTGATTTAAAGTAAGAATTACCTTAACAGCTTACTCCTACCTCACATATTGAAGCTTCAAAATATCTCATAGGTTTAACATGCACAACCTCACAGAGCTCTTGCACGTTGCATTACACTCAAGCGCATTTTAAAGCTTAAATACAATAGTATTTTTATTTATGAACTGCAATTGCTGCCACATATACCTGTGAAACTACAAATAATGTACAGATGTAGTTTTTGCTCAGTAGTGTAGACATGTTTCCAGATTATTTCAAGTACTGTAAGAATAGTAAAAGATAATGCAATAGAAAGCGTGTCTGTTTTGTTTAAACTGACTTAAAATGGTTTTAATTTGTTAACTATATTATTAAGAACATTATCAGTGAAAAGAAATTTGCATTACCTAAATTCACTTAATTCACTTAGCATTCACTTAATATGGCCAACATGTACATTTCATAATTTTTAGTTTATACTGTAAATATAATTCATTTGCATCACAAAACAGCATCATTTTTGTTTTAAGCAAACTATTTTATAAAGTGGTACATTACCTGAAAGAATGAAAATACGCATCCTGCTGTAATGCATCTCAACATAACAATGTTTAGGACTGCATGTATGAAAGTAATAGATGCATTTAAATGCAACTACTTGCTACTTTTGCTAATGCCAATCAGTTAAACTTAGGATGCAAATTATAAATCAATAACACATGCATATGATTTAACACAGTTCTCCAGCCAAATACTTTACAAAGATGACTAAGATCTTAAAAAAGATATTTTTGACTCTAGTGTTTTCTATGCGGAAAATCTTAATTTTTTTTTTTTTTTCCTCCAAGCTGGTCAATAGAAAGAGTAGACTACTGTAAAATTCAACAAAAATAAATGGATTTATTTGTGAAATATTTCCTACATTAGAGGACATGAAGTAGAATAGAAGCTCATGGGTATTACAGTACATTCAAACAGGATCTTCCTTACAAAATAATGTTATCCATGTTTTATAAAGATCAGCATTTCATTAAAAATGCTTTTATTTCTAATATTCTTTTTGAGTTCTTGAGTTCTTTTTGAGGGCATTAAGCCTATCTCAGAAACACTGCCAGTTTGCATAATAACAAGGCCTCCTGAAACTAATCAGAATGAAAAACAACTGAAACCACTGAAAGTTATTTTGATTCTTTAGCTGTATTTAGAAAATTTATTTTTATATTTATGTATTTTTTAATGGTTGAGGTAGCACAAAATTGATTTTGAGAATGCAAGCTCTGAAAACGTCTCCTATGCACAACATCACAAAAGCAGCTTTTCTCATATTCACAGTCTTCACAGAAAGCACAGTCTTTCAAATCCCAAGAACCAAAACCCCGCATGAGAGCCGGCAGGTCCAGCAGTATGTTCAGATTTGTCTGCAATTCCACACTAACTATAGGTTACACGATTCCACATCCTCTCATAGTTTTCCCATCAGTGTCAATGATAAAGCATCAAATGCTGCCATCTAGGATGGGCCACATTATTTTGTTCCTCCTGCTTCCCAGAAATAATGGAAAGGTCAAGTGCATGTCCCAGCTCCATCTGTGGGACCTATGTAAGCTGCAAAGAGCCAAGACGCACA